TGCTGAGTCAGTCCGCTCAAACTCTGATCCCTGGAACATGTGTTCAATAGTGCACCTGTGCCCTCTCGCCACAAGGGGGCTCCCACACACAGTTGACAGCCTTTCCAACACAGAGGACAGATTCTGTAAAATATCGGCTGTACATGATCTTGGGTGTGATTATTGTAGGGTCTACCTCACAATATAAAGCACCTTGAGGGGACTGTTGTTGAGATTTGGTGCGATTAATAATGTTTGAACTTTTAAGGTTGTTCAACATTCGTAGTTCTGTTTTGGATTTGGGAACATTTAGTTGTTTATTATAATGCAGTCTTAAGGCTTTACATGACATATTTTGACTTTTTGTATCTGTGTTGGTAGGCAGGTTGGACTCAAATATATGATTTGTAAAGTTCATTGGAGGCGTATAGTGCTCCAGGGACTCCAGGGAGGAAAGGAGTCCACACAACATCTCTCAACTCAGGGTTTGTCTTACCACACACCTGGGAAGATCGAAACCAGGAGTCTACACAGAAGAAACACACAGCAAGTATCTTGAAGCATCAGAAGCAGCACAAACACTGAGCAGGAGGAGCCAGGGCTTCTCTAACTCTAATCCAACAGTCCAGTGAAGAATGACAGCCAGCTCAATTCTGCATTTGAGATCATCGGAGACACGTGGGTCAGGTCAGAGGCAGCAAGCTGAGACGAGGCCACTCAGGAACACAAACAACAACAAAGGAACACAAACAACAACAAAGGAACACAAACAGAGGAGAGAGAGAAAACTAAAGTCGAGAGACAGACAGCAAACAAACCGAGAAATCAGCCGGAGACGACTGAGACCATCACATTTGGCTTTTAATTCAATGTAGGTTTAATAAGTTTTTAGATTGAGTTGAATCATTTCAGTTTAGTTTGCAATGTTTAAGAATATTTATTTTTAACTGTCATTGTCTGTTTTAGTCTTTATTAATTATTATTGCCTGGATGGCAAACTCACATAAAGCCTCATAAAGCCTCATAAAACTTTTTTTGCAGGCTATCCACTAGGTTTTGCAGTTTGCACTAATTGTTTTGGGAGATGCACTAACTGCTGTGCAAATGTTAATGGTGTTCTGAGGAACGCACCAAAGCGACTGAGAAAGACTGTAACAGGCTTTTGTTCTAAAATGTTTGACTGGTATTCTGAGGCAGATATGAAGCCTGCACAGCCTGAACTTGTAATTTTTGGATGTTCTCTGACGTCTGAGCTACTCCCGTTTAAAGTGCAGCGGCCACTGGAAGTAGGTTTGATGTTTTGGTAGCTTTTGGTACCTGTGGTTTTTGTGAAGTGCATGGTTGTTTGTTTTTGTTTGTTTTGGGGTTTGTGTTTGTTTGAAATTGTGGAAAAAAATGTTTTAAAAATAAAAAAAAATATTAAAAAAAACACAATAAGCTGGTGTGGAAGACTGTTAAAACTGCAACTCCTGGTCCCAGAACTGGATCGTCACGTTTCTGTTGTCTTTGTCATCAGTCACACAAGAATCAGAGGTTTAACAGTGTGTGGCTCCCTCTAGTGGATGTTGTGGAGTATTCTGTTTGCTCCAAAGGTTTTTGTACAGAGTTTTGCTGTTTCCTGTCACTGTGGGCTGCAGAGCACAGTAGTACACAGCAGAGTCAGACACTGCAGCAGAGGAGATCTCCAGATTGACTCGATTTCTCTCCTTGTCCAGTGCAGCAGTCAGTCGAGGGTTTGGGGGGGTTGCTCTCACCACAGTCGGCTCACTCGTATCAGTGATGAGGAGAAGGAACTGAGGAGCTGATCCAGGATCCTGTCGATACCACTGGAGATTCTGGGCTTGAACTGAATAGTTACAGGACACAGTAACTGTACGGCCCTCTGATGAAAACACTTCAGCACTGCTGGCAGTAATATCATCTTCCAAGCTGTTACCTGCTGATGAAACAACATGATATATTTACAGCTCTGTTCCACAGTCACATGTCCATCATTGGAAAAACACAGTGAGCTCAAAGAAAATCCAAACTGGATCTGTAACGCTGTAAACATGTCTTTGAAAAAGAAGAGATGTAAACATGTCTTTGAATTTCAGGTGTTCCTGTCAGAAACATACGTACCTACGAGAGCTGCAAAGATCCAGATCACAGCCAGTTTTTCCATGTTTCCAGAGGAGAAATGTTGGAAGTGATGTTCACTGGGAGTTAGCTGTGAGTGGTCTGATGTTCACAGCTGGAGTCAGACAGGTTTCTGCAGTCAGGAGGAGGAGACTGTTTTGTTCTCATGTGATGTTTCCTGTTAAATCCTGATGACAGCTGGTGTGTCTGCAGGAGATCCTGCATAGTTTGTGCTTCGTGCTGCTGTTGAAAGTTAAACAGCCAAACACGGAGCTTGCACAGAGGTCTTTATGGATCTGTTTTCTCTTCTCACGGCAGCCTTGCTGCTCAGAACATTTTATTTATTTACTGCAACAAACTGACACTTTGAAGAGGAACTAAAGGCAACACTCGTGCTCTGCCGGAACCTCACCGCGTGACACAGGCGGAAGTAAATAAAGGAAAGGCACTAATACCGTCACTGACCCGGGTGTGTTGTTGTGTGAGCTGAGTGTGTGAGCTGAATTGTTTGGACTGGGGTCTGAGCAACGATGCCTTCAGTTCAGTATCTGAGAGAGTTTATCAACGAGCGACTAACTGCTGCTGCTGAACAAATATTCTTGGAGTTTGAAAAAACGATCGTCCAGTACGAGGAAGAGATCGACCGTCAGCGCAGACTGCTGGATATCACCTGGAAACCCCAAATCAAGCTGCACAGGACAGGTGAGTGTCCCTCTGAGGGAGCATCCTGATCACAGCTCTGCGGGACGTTTCTGATTGTGAGGACTTTTTGGAGATGTGAGCTAACAAAGAGCAAACAGAGGACAGGACTGCGCTGCATTCAAACAGCAGGCGCTGAAATCAGCCTGGATTTGAGCTTTTCTCTGACCTGGATCCATCACTCAATCCTGTGAATCGTTTGAAAAACTTTTTGTTTGGCGGTGAAACGTGTGTTTGATGGTGCGTTCAGGTGCACCTTCTAAACTCAGTAATCTAGCCTGAAAAGGTTTTTCCTTGGTTTCCTTTCTTCTTCTGCAGAGCTGTAAAGAGTTCAGTGTCTTTTTTCTCTGTACTCGAGGCGCCTGTGATGATGTACATAAAAGCAAGACACGTCACGTCTGTCACATCACGAGACGTCCACCAGTGAGGCGCGGCTGAGTACAAGTTTGCATGCACAGTGACCCTAAATTGAATTTGACGAGGGCGTGCGGTTGCGCTGAGGCTCCTTCCAGTCCATAATGCATCTGAGCAGACTTAGCGACTGGACGGCTTACCACCAGCACGATCAGCTGTAAAGTCCTGTTAATGTTTCTGTGGTTGTGACTTCTTTCTTCTGTCTCTCCAGACGTCCCACAGCAGCAGGTCTGTGAGGAGGAGGAGGAGGTTCTCCCTGAGCAGCAGCTCTGGAACCAGGAGAGGAGCTCCAGTGTGGAGCAGGAGGAACCAGAAGCTTCACAGATTAAAGAGGAAGAGGAGGAACTGTGCAGCAGTCAGCAGGGAGAGCAGCTGGGACTGAAGGAGGAGCCTGAAGTTCATAATGATCCTGTGCAGTACGAGGAAGAGATGGAGCGTCAGCGCAGACTGCTGGATATCACCTGGAAACCCCAAATCAAGCA